TATTTAACTTTTCTCTTAGTGTGTTTTNCTACAGGAATTATAAATGCGTTCTTATTGATTCTAACTCCATAGACATATAGGCATTAGGTTAGCTTGAATAGGCGAGTAAGAACTCGACAGATTTTTATGAGCAATATTAACCCTGTCACCCAATAAGCTAGATAAATTAGTCGGTCAATTTAATTGATNTAAGGTTATTGATGAAGACGCTTGGTTGACGGAAGACCGTTATGGCCCATCTTTTTGGTCTTGTGATGCCCTGAACTCTGGGAGGTCTGAATTCGAATATGGAAGTAAGGGTTGGTATTGGGACAAATATTCTCGATTAAGCGAATATACGGAACGACGCTGTCTCTTAACAATGTTGGTGAATGATTGGTCTAAGGAGAGAGTTGATCTTGCACAAAAAATTGATAGTTTTGGCTTGGTTGTGCATAACTTGGATGCAAATTTGAATGCAAAGGTTGATGCGTGTAATGGCCAACAATTTAATGATGAGTTGTGTGAAGCTGAAAAAAATCTTCTAGACCAAATTGAGGAGCTAAAACGAGAATACCAATCATTAGACCATATTTTTTTTGAGGATGCCAATGTTGAGAAGAGTGATCTAGAGACATACTAGGGAGTAGATAACATTACTTTGGGAAACTTGAGTGTGTGTATCTATGGGGATGTAAATAGTAGTACAATTCATGAGTCAGGGCGCATTAGACCTTATTCTAATCATTTTTCCACATTGTGTTTAGATAGTAAGATAGTAATCGAGCCATCTGAGCCTATGGGGGAGTCAAAGGGTGAGGATGAGAATTCCTATATTCTTGAATTTGTTGTGCAAAAAAGCAAAAATTACATTCCACGTCTAAAGGCCGAAAAGTACAGAGGGAAAACTTTATTACTTGGTCTTGTTATCTTTGTAGCCCTACCAAAAGAGTATAGCAGAAAACTTGAAATCAAATTAGAGGTACAATTCATAAGTTCAAGGTGGAGGCAAAAGGTGGTTCAAGTCGTGCCGCGACTTTAAATTAGGCGCTTGTTGGGAGGCAACCCAACTTTACTACTTTCTTTTATTTTTGTTTTTATTATATTATTTCGTAGTGTTTGTTTTGATTTTGTAGGATGATAAGCAAAGGAAACAAAGTCATTGGAAGAGTGAAAAAGTAAGTTAGATGGTGAGAACTAAGTGTGGGGTGCCCACACAAAGGACCATACTTGGGAGAAGTCTGAGTATCCCGTGAGCTGCTAATTCTTCGGCCTTTGGCCTACCAGGGAGTCTCTTTGTTTCCCTTCTTGTTATTTATAGTGTGCATTGAGGACATTACACAATTTTAAGTGTGGGGTGAGGAGATTGTCTAGGTATTTTTCTGTGCTATCTTAGCTTACTTTTTCCGACGATGGATCTCATTCGAAAGGTTTCTTGAGGGATTTAAGTTGAAAAAAAAAAGATTTTCTTTTGTTAGGTAGTGTAATAATTCTCCCTTGGTTTTTCTTTGTGTCGCGGTTTTTTTTCAAGAGTTTTATTTGAACCGGGTGTAGGTAGTTTTATATTTTTTTAGGAGTAGGAGCCACTGTGAGATGAATTGAATTGGAGTAATATCTCTTAACTTTGTTATGCCTTGAGAATAGTGAGTACTTTGGTTGTGACGCTTAAGCTCAGTTTTTGACTCTTGTATAAGTAGCTTAAATCGTATGATCTTAACTTTGCTTAACTGCTTTGACTAGAATATCTTGATGAGTCCAATCCTAAGTGAGTTATGTGCCATGTGTGTGTGAGGTTTGTGTGTAATTCTGTGCATTGCATTTGATGTCTAGAACTTGCCTCGTGTGTTTGCAAAGCAAAATAGTAGTTTTGTTCAGTCTTGAAAGTGATATAGGCGTTTCTTTGTTGAACCAGCTATATAATTTACCCACCTTATTGTTATGTATCGTAGTTAACCCCTTTGAGCCTGTAATCTTGTTTCTTTGGCAACCACATTATAAGCCTTACCTATTTGTTTGAATTAACCATCTATTTGAACATTTTCACCTCTCATGAGCACTTGAATTGTTATGAACTTTGTAAAAGTTAAAGTGTGGGGTGGTTGGTTTGGCTTTTGAGTGGAACTAATGAAATAAGGAGAAAGGTGCACTGTTTTGAAAAAAATAAAATAATAAGAAAAGCCACTTGAATTGAAAAAGAAAGAAAAAAATAGTTGTATTGCTGTGAAAAATATTCCTTGATAGTGGTGACTCTTGATATAATTGTGCTTAAAGAAGTATGGAGTTAATATACATTGATGTGAAGGTGGAGTTATGGTTTGACATAAGTGTGGGGTTAAATGTTAAAGTACATGTATTAAAGTGCTTAGGAAGGTGTAGTCACTCTTATATCCAAATGTATCCTACCCGACCCGTAGCCTACATTACAACCAATTAAAGTCCTACTTGATCCTAGACTGAATGAGCTCGATTAGTAGAGTAGTACACTACGGGCAAGCCTATGGTGCATCTTTTGTGGCATATGAATGTTATTTCTGAGAGTGAGTGAATTCTTTCTATCTTGAGTTCCTAATTGTTCTTAAATTTTATTGTGTGTGGAACTACTCTCTTTTGTTGTGTGAGGGCACTTGATTCATGAAGGAAAGGTAATGTTATTGACCTCTATGTTAGAGTAAGTGAGTGAGTTGTGAATAATGCGTGGTACTTGTGAGTCAAATTTTGAGGTAAAGAGGTTATACACTTGTGCTTAGTCTATTTTAAAGATTCTTGGTGTGATGAGTTAGGAGAATTATTTAAAAAGGTCGTGTCTATATAAAGTGTAGTTTGATTGCTCGAGGACGAGCAAGAGTTTAAGTGTGGGGTAGTGATGTTTGGTTATAATTACATATTTTTAGTGCATTACTTACCTTACATTTTGGGGATTTAATGCTAAACTATACTATATTCGTGCTTAATTGAGTCTATTTTATGTGTAGGTGAATTGGAGATTAAAGTAGAAGAAAGAGGAGACCTACAAGTCGAAAGCGTGCGCAGGAGCAGTGAATGAGAGAACCTGGCAACGCCAGGCTTGAAGCTGGCTTTAGGCTGGCTTTGCAAGGCTAAAGCCAGGCTGAGGCTGGCGTTAGGCTGACGACGCCAGGCCTGGGGCCAGGTCCAATCCGAATTTTGAAGACTTAATTCGTTTCCGGGTTTGACTAGGACTTGTCCTACATGTTTAGGTATTTTCCTATACATATAAATAGACCTAAAAACGCCATAGAGGAAAAAAAGACCGGAAGAGAACATACCGGGGGAGAACATACTTGGAGAGGACGTTTTTGAGAGGAAAACACAAGCACAGAGCCGCCGTGGAGGCCGGAATTCACTAAGTTCCATCTTTCTCCCACCAAACTTAGTAATTTTAATGTTTCTTTGTATGATTTGTTGTTTGGTTACCATGTTTATGTGGAGCTAAACTTCACGTTCTAGGGTTGTGGTTCTTTCATGACTATTATTATTCGGATATTGATTTTGCCTTCTTGATTTATCATATTGGTTTATTTATTTAATCTTGCGCTTAATTATTTAATTGCTTGATCACCAATTGAATACTATTTACGAATCTAGAATTGAACTCGAAAGTGGGAATTCTAGATTGCATATAGGATTGAGTAGAGCAAGTTCTTGAACTCGGGCATCGAGGAACAGATTCGTGGTTAGGATAGACATATACCTAATTGCCTTGCTTGGTTGATCTACAGGAATTATAAATGCGTTCTTATTGATTCTAACTCCATAGACATATAGGCATTAGGTTAGCTTGAATAGGCGAGTAAGAACTCGACAGATTCTTATGAGCAATATTAACCCTGTCACCCAATAAGCTAGATAAATTAGTCGGTCAATTCAATTGAAGAATACAATAGGATTGTTAGATAGCCCATAACCCTAGATCGTTTTCATTACATTGATATCATAAAAATCTGCTCTTTCTCTGTTCAAAGTTCATTATTTATATTTTTTTATTTAATTAGTTTAGAATCAAATATTTTTAGGTTTAATTCTTGTTTAGATAATTAAGATAGTCTAATTTAGTTAATAGTTAATCACAAGTTCTCGTGGGTTCGACATCCGATTTTTAGTCACTTTATTACTTGACGACCGCGTATACTTGCGTGTGCGTTTGGCCGCAACAGTAGACTAAGAGACACGTTTTTTAATACTAAGCTAAGAGAGACAGAACCAACCCATCGTATAAATAGGAATTTAGAACCCTCAAGGAAAGGGTATAGGAATAGTGGCAATGCCAAAACCTGCAGCAGAAAATCAGATAAAAGAATCATCATAAACTACAAAAGAATTACACTTCCGCCATACGTTCTTTGCTCTATTCTGAATGATAACTGAAATGAAGCCACAAATTGCAGAGCGCACGTAATTACTTCAAGAAGTATACTTCGGGAAAGAAAATCATTTTAAGGGGATAAGATTCTAAGTCTGTGTATGAAACACACAAAAAAACCCATAACTAATAAGAATGAATACCAAAATTTGTCTTCTAGTTGAATTTTATTTTCTGTCTTTTGTCAAAATTTTTAGTTACCCAATACAAATATTTCATATCTTATTGATAAGTAATGTGGTTCTCTTTCAGAATATAAATCACTTGATCATACTGTTCTTTCCTGAAAATAACTACCTAAAGGTTGGCTCAATAGTCAAAGATTAAATAATTTTTTTTGAGATAGTTCAATTCATTCGCTGATCAACAGAGAGACAAAAAAAAAAGAATTCTACTTTCTCTGCTCATTTCTATTACTTTATTTTTTCTTTTTCACTTTCCAAATTATCATACACAGAAATATACAACTACTCTAAAAAATCCTGCAAGTATGAAGAGAATAGAAACAAAGGCAAATATTTTACTAAATTGATGACCTTCCTTGTCCTCAGAGGCTCAGAGCATACATCAATGAATCCCCCAACAAAATAATAACATAGGGACGGGGAAGTACCATTGTAACTATTAAATATTTAATCATAAATAATAATAATAATAAACATAAAATAGAATAATATTAATCAATGAGTGATTAATTCCAAAAATAAATTAAAGAATAAACCGTATCCTCAAGAATCAAAGCAGAAAGTTCGTCTTGTACAACTTGTACATATGTGAAGAAGGCAACTGTATTGGCCTTTCAATGTCTCTCGAAAGACCGAGGCAGACAAAGCCATTGCCGCTGCAATTTCAGAAGGTTGAAGCTCCAAGAAGCCAATACCTACATTAAATTATCATCCAAGTACTGGACGAAACACACTAAAGATCTTTGGACAGAATTTTACATTAGGAATTGGTTAATCATATCCAAAGACAAATTTTTGTTATACCTGGTATCAGTTGCATTGATCATGAAACATGCATGAATAAGATACAGGTAAACTCCCTGTCTACCTGTCAAAGAGAAAATAAAATTACTATTCAATTGTTGCAAGTCGGTGACTTACCTTTCATGCTTTTTCCAATCAGCTGGGATGTGTCAGACACCAATCAACTCCATGAGTAGTAGAGAGGTCATACAGTCTGAAGTCCAATCGCCTTGCAAGGATAAAACCTACTGAGAGAGCTCTTGGTGATGACTTTTAGACATTGATGTAACACGCCATAGATTCGAACATGAAAATACCTCGTTCAAGCGAATACGCGTGCCAATCAACCCATGGTGAATTTAAGATACAGTCCACAGGAAAATCTACCAGAACAACATGGGAAAAAGATGAAACGATCAGAGAAGAAATCCAAATGTATCACAACAATATATGTATCTAATTGCCCAAAATATCGAGAAAATAAGATGTCACCAGTGTCTTCTAAGTGAACAAAGAGATAATTCTCAATAGTTCTGCTACTTTTGAACCTTTTTCTTCTTTTTTACCTTAGAAAGATTTCAAAAGTACCGGATAAATACGCAAAATTAAAGAACCTCATGTTCAAGTCATTCATTCAGATGTAAAACCACACTTGGGGACTGATTTCAAGTTCGATTTCTTGAAAGAAAGTATATTATTACATCTTAAATGGAAGTATTAATCATCAGAACTGGCAACACTTAAGAAGAGTACGTATATACAACAGTGTCAGTGTCAGTGTCAGTTCTGAATGAGGTACTGTTCAGTAGCATGAACACTCCTCGGAGACAAGTGACTCAAAAAAGCAAAATTTTAACCTCCATGCACAAACAAAATAATCTTAAAGAGAAAATCCAACGATTTTTTTTAATAAATATTGTACCACTTGAACGACCAACAAAGTTAAAAAAACAGTGCAAACACTAACATTCAGTTTATGATTTTTTGCAATATTTTAAAGTTAAACAGAAAAATAGAAGCAAATTTAATGATCCTAAAAGAGAAAGCACTTACATGCACCTATGCATCTATTACCAAACATGCATGGGCAAATCATGATATTCATGTAGAAAATCCAGCACAACATTATTGAAAAGAATAGGAAAACTAATATACACCAATCAAATTTATACTACCAACAAATAGGTGTCAATAATATGAACAATGGAGAGAAAACTCGCCAGACTGAGAGCAGACATCATAAGCAACTTGCGCTATAAATAAAGAAACTTACAAAAAAGCCCAGAAGTGAAGGCCAAAAAGGAAAAAGGAGCAACAAAAGTATAGGAGAAACCTTGCAAGAAACGAACTGACCGAATGCCTGAAAGAGGAGGCACACTAACGTTAGTAACAGAGACTATAGAAGCAGCATCACAACATTATAAATATAGAAAAAATGCACCAAAAGAAGTAATCCAACTCTTGCCAAATGAAAAAAGGATGCCTAAGGAGCAAAAGATTTGTGAAGAGAGTGACAATGGCAAAGAAATTTGTTAATTTAAATCCTTCCATTTACATAAACTCCACTTTGTAACAACTAAACCATCAATTTTGAGATTTAATTGTCAATATTTATCTGCTCCAAAATAGTTGCACAATAAGAATCCAACATCAGCATCCCTCCACTACAAAATGCTTTTGTACCTGCATCAAGTCGTTTTGGGTTTACCTCCAAGTAGATGATTCAAAACAAAACTACTCTTTTTATGTTGAATGATATTCAGTATGGACTCTATGGAATTATGCAAATAAACAGAAATAAAACAGAATGAAATACATGAGGATTTGTTTTTAAATATCACTTTATAGTTTTCTAATGTGAAAGTTCGAATCCATGAAATAATTCCTATAAGGCAAAAGAGGCCTTACAAAAGTTCCTGTAAGGCATAAGAGAGTTTTTGTGGCCTCAAAATAAATTTAAGAGTGGGTTCCTAACTTCATAACAAAAACTCAAATCCTGTGCTGTTGTTGTGAAGTTAGGAACTCACTCTCATAATTTAAATTTTGTAGTCTTTTCCTTATCATTCTTTTAATCCTTACCTTACAATCCCTACCTTCCCACCATAAATATATTCTCCAAAGATCTTAGCTAACATGATCCCTCTTTAAGAAGTTGAAAATCTTTGGTACAATGCCACTATGATTGTATCGGTTAAATTTTTTTGTGTAGATTGCTTACTAAAATATTTTTTGATCTTCAAATTGAGTATATTGTGATGATGACAATTGACTTAAGTTCCAACCTTTTTCAAGTTACTTTTAATGATATCCTCTATTACACTCTTTAACTTTCAAGAGAAAAATAAACAAATTTAACTCCATAATCAATTCAAGTTCGTCCAAAGTCAAATTTTTCTTTCATGTGATGGGTAAGTCACAAGACTACCCATGCTCTATCCTTCAATTTTTTTTTTCTTTTTAGCTGCAACAACACTTTATCGTCATGGAAGTAAGCAACTTAATATGAAAGAACAACCTCAAAACAAAAAGGGGAAAAATAAATTTGATTGCAATAAACGCACAGAAGGCATCCTGCCAGAGAAGTTGATAGTCGCACCTACTCAGGCTTTCCTCAAAGCAAACCAACTTCAACAGAGAAAAGAGTAAATTGAAAGGCTATACCTATGTTCTTTTCCATATCAAGTAATTTTTTTTCTAGTTGCAATTAGGCGAAATAGGTTATGATGTGATCTCACAGATGAACGAAATTGGAAGCTATGAAAACATATTGAAATATTTTTTGAATAATTGCATATACAACTGTTATATATTTAGGACAAATATAAATTAGACAACAATATCTGTTGGTGATGTCGAGCAAGTTTAACCCGTTTGGACATAAGAAATTTTTTCCTTTTTTCCAAAAAATTTTCACTTTTTTTAGAAATCAGCATTTGTTCATAAAATTTCCAATTTTCACTTGAAGATGCATTTTGGAAATTTGAAAAACTTCAAAAAGTTGTTTTTCAAATTTTTCATCAAATCACTCACAAAACTTCAAAAACAACCCAAAATTATATTCATGTCCAAACACAACTCTAAATTTCAAATACTATTTTCACTTGAATTTTTTTTCCCCCTATTTTGGAATTTTACAATTCTTATGTCCAAACGCCCACTAAGTCTTTCTCCGGTGAGGCTATGCACTATTTTTACAACAGATATTACATGCCTCTCAGTAGTTGTACCAATAACGAAGCTAAAATAGACAAAAAAAAAAAATATTACTACCAGCTCCATAACCACAAAAAGGGGTCAACTGAATCTGGAGCACCTACAAAGAAATGTAAAGGCTACAAAACATGAATCAACATATGTGAAAAATATTTAAAACTTTCAAGGTTAAAAAGGAAGATGAAAAAAATGGAGTCACATATAAAAATTTATATTGATGGATCACTAAAAAATAGACGCTAGGGCAAGGAAGCAGCACAAAGCAAGTGGAAAACAACCAAAATACACCCAAAAAATTGAAATACCTGCATAAGGAGCTACAACTTCTCCATTCAAGTTGCATAAATTAAAATAATGGAGACCAGAAATATACTTACAACTACTAAGAAATCCGACCTTCGCCGATAAACAGATTCTGTCACATTCTTATTCGCCATCCATTTTCTGTCCAAAGGTGCAATAAAGAGAGAAAAATTGCACAAATAACTCACCAGCAATAAGAGAAGTCGCATCCGAGAGAAATAGAAAAAAATGACAAATTCGTAGAAGTGAAAACACAAGTGGTGATTATCCACAAAAAAACTGAAATAAACCAAGAGGTAATAGTGCAAAAAAAAAAAAACTCACCCAGAGCGAACAGAAGAGAGAGGAGGAGAAAAATTTTAAAAACTGAAAGAGGCGATACAACCTGGTGAGAGAGAATAGGGCTTTGAATATGCTACACATGTTAAGATGTATGACACGTGCTCTACAAAAAGTCCACGTGCCTTCTGGAATAAAAGGCAATTTAATAGTTAATGAATTTCTACTATCTAAGAAAAAGATTTTACCCCTTGACGAACTTGTTCGTACATCTAAAGTCTGGCTTCTAAATAATAATAATAATACTAATAATATAGATTGTGAAATTTATCGAATTTTCGATAGCCATTTCTGATAGAAGAACGTCCATTGGAATACAGATTAAATTTTCAATGATAATGATATCAGAAAAGGTAAATAATACGTCTTAGTCAGAAATTCATTAAAATTCATTGAAAAATTAACACCAATTTGCAGAAATAATTTAGGATTTTTTATACAAATAGCCGTTTATATTTATTATTTTTTTTAATTATATACATAGATTACATATTAATTATACATAATTATACATATATAATATATAAATTATGCATATCTTATATCTCTACCGATTATTTTTAGTTTAAGTGGTTGAGTGATTGACTATTTGAGTTAATTCTTGGATAATTTAATAGTTAAATTATTTATTCTTTCTCATAAAAGGTATTTACTTAAATGATTTATAACTTTTTTTCAGACAGAGGAGTTAAGTTTTAATATTTAAAATGAAAAAGGCATTTGCTAGATTAAACGCGATTGAAATAATAATAGGCCCAACGTTAGCGAAATGATATTCCAAATCAAATCAAGAACGGGAGTCATTGAAAGTTTAGGACGAAGAATTGGTATAGAGCAATTCATCGAAATCTGTACACCGACGAGTGCTAACAACGGCGGCGGAGATTTTCAGGTGGTTTCCTTATTTCCGTTCTCGCGTACTGGCATTGCTTAATTCAGAAGCTCGTCTGCCACCTCCATACTATCCGAAAGAAAGCTTCTATTGGTAAGGTCCGAACTATCGACATAGCAAAATTGCTAGCAATTGCAGCAATAATCAATTAGTCAATATAGAGTAGTGATAAAATGAAATCTCATGTGCTTACTTGAACTGTATTGGCAGGACCGCGGTGTACTCAAGGAAATGCGGAGCCCAAAAAACTACTTTAGTGAATATGTAGCGTATCATTTGCTAATCACAGTAGTAGCAGGTGATGTGTATACATTCTACGAGGAAGCATTCTCTAGAACTACTTGATGTCTTTATACTGACGAATTTGGAAATTTTGATATAATATGCTAATTCATATTATTTTCAGCTGTATTGTCACAAGCAATTGAAGTTGTTTCAGTTGTTGCACCAAATACTGGTTGCTATGCACTGGATAACTCCAGCCACATTCACGATTTTGTATCCTTTGAAATTTTTGCTAGTCGATTTAGTGAGATGGGTACAGAAATGCTGAAATTGATCCATTTTCAGTGGCTTAAAATACAGAAATTTAACCTTATAATGTCATGCTGCTGAACTTCGCAATCTTCTTATATTTCTTATCACCATGATGGTGACACAATACTTGCAAACTTCTTATATGTTATTTTTTATCCTTCGAGATCTGCAATGATATTACCTGGTCGTGTTATTAGAGGTGCATTTTGAATAAAGTTGGTGTTTCTTAACCTACGTCTCAGAGTAGCTGGATTGGACATCCCTTTGAGTATGAAGGGAAGGTGATGTCTGATTTGATGCTATGTCCACAAATGGTTTCGATTATATGCAAAATGTAATGCTCATTGGTGTCTTTTAATGTAGGAAGCTGACTTGGTGGTTCGATTTTGCAAAGATGTTGAGTCTAGATCACAAGCGGTAATGCATTTTACGATGTTCTCATTTATTTTGTCACTCGGTATATTACTAGATTCTTATTTCCTCTTCCCTTTCTGTTACTTCTTTTCCCGAAAATGTTCTCTCCAACTGTTACAAACTTTGTCTTTTCTAGTAATCTTCAACTAGCTCCTTCCCTACTTCTCATCTTTGCATCCCTAACCTGATGTGATGCCTTCAAAAACATCCTTCAGGGATTCATAGCTAATTAGATTAATAGCTGTTGAGCATACTAGTTGGCGCTGATAATGGCACTTCATAGTTACTTTAAAGCAAAATAAATAGAGTAACTTTATTATTGTTCACTGCATAACAATCCCTATATTATTGTCCGTTGCTAAAATCGTTGTATTAAATCCTTGTATAATTATACCATAAACAAAACAACCTGTTATTGTCTGTCTTTTGGTTAGTTTTCTCTGTGGTTGTGATGAGTAATTTATTTTAGGGGCTGCCACCTCTGAAGTACACAGGAGTAGAAATTAACTGTCTATCAAGAATTGATGAATAAATGAAAGCTGGATTTGCTTGTGAGTGCCTAGTGAAAGTGGGGAAAATGATTCTTACTCAACTCCATGCATCTTTCATATTTCACTGTAACTTGTAGATTGTTAAAAATACCGAGCTGTTGTACCAAGAAAATGTCTACTTGATTAACTAGTCCATTATGTACTCTTGTAACATTGATGCCTTATGTAATAAAGAGTGAACCTGAATTGCAGGGATATGTGGACTTCGGCAGATTTGATAAACTCAACTATTTTCATACTGGGTCTGGACATGTCAGCTTCATTCAGGTAAGCTTTTCAACTGTGAAGTATAATCTTACGCTGGAGAAAATTAAAGACTCCTGCATGTTTGTTTAAGANGACGTAATTGTTATTCTCTTGGCTGGCTGCATTGTATAGCCCACAATAATTGATAGGCTCTAGGCATGTGTGACTTGTGCTCTTCTACTTCTGCTCTGTGGCATATAAAACCTTTTGAAGCAACGAGACTTTAGTGATTCATCTAGACAGCTGTTTCTTGGTTCGCTGCAGCTGTTTACTACATAAAGTGGAAATAACAGTGGGCTTATTTACTGATTTGTTATCTGTAGGTGTATTAGTAGAGTTAGCAGACATGTTTACACATACTAGTAATTGGTAAAAGCAAACGCTTCTCACTTTGATCACTTTGAGCTTTAATTTGTGAAGTATGTGCTTCAAGTCGCACAACCTGCTCCTCAGATGCATTGCTCCCTTGCTTCATGTTGCTCTGTCACTTGAATTAACAAAGTGCCTGCTTTTTATTTCTGATTACCTGAGTCTAATCTTAATTTACATTGTTTCTATTGTCCCCAGGAATATNGGGTCCCGAGTGGCTCAGGTGAGTTTCGGATGGTTAACGGATCAAATTCAACTTGAAACATTTCTGGAACTGTTGCCTACTGGTGTGATCACACCTGCGAAGCTTTTGATCGTAGGTGCGATGCCGCATGTGCATGAAATCAGTCGTAGAAGCGGCCAAGTGTGGAAATGGGCAGTGCTCGTAGGTGCGAGGAATTTACATTGTTTCTATTGTCCCCAGGAATATTTCAACGGTGACCTGATGAACTGCGAGCAGNTTTTAAGATTCTTTTTCTTTCTTATTTATAGGCGCATTCATTTGAGAGAAGGCACCAGCCTTTAGACTCTCTCTCTCTCTCTCTCTCTCTCTCTCTCTCTCTCTCTCTCTCTCTCTCTCTCCAGCAATATAACCTTTTTATGTGTTGTATTTTCAAGAAATCATATGTAGATCTTCCCAGAAGATAAAAATGAGTAGTGGGCCCTATAGGAATATCACTTTCCAATATTTAGTTTCCATGTACTGAACTCCAACACAATTAGATTGACTCTCTTATTTCTGGATTGATAGGTAAATATCATATGTGGAAACTGTCCTCAGGGACAATGCAAAGGTATGCAAACCCTTCATTTGACTAGTAAGATAGTTTGTTAATGCAAGATGCATGAAATAGCCTCAATAAACTACAAAATGTCTGAGTTAGTGTTTTTGATTAATCTCTGAAATACCTCTGAAACTGTCAACTGATTCTGAAAATTTAGATCTACAATGACATCATAAACATGAAGCCTGGGGGTCAGCTAGGAGAAGCATAATTTTGATATCACATATTAATGCACCAAAATTGCCAGCCCAAAAGGTTGTACAAAGTATTGCAAGTGTTAAATAACTTTGAACATGTCATTTTTGGTGGCTCATAGTTGCGTGACATATCTAGTGAATTCTACTTCAGTTACTAGTGAAATCATTATTAGCTGTTGACCAGTGTGTAAATTCTAAATACCTGTATTAGGTTTTGCCATGGCTCTTCATGTTGGGGTAGAAGATCATGTCCCTCTGATTGGCAGTGTATTGTGGTTCCTGGAATTGAGTCATGAGGTTGATCTATATGCAACAAGTTCTAATTAGAAAATCTACCAGAAGTTATGTCATTTATTCGTTTATCCCTTGATGGGTATCAGGTTATATAAGGACAAAGCTAATCATCCGTGTAACTGAGATATGAACATGGCTCATTGAGGTGGGCACGATGAATTGATGAAAAGACAAATGTCTTATCCTTGGTGCCTTTGTCCCGTGTGTAGAAAATGTGATTTGTGTGGTTTAGTTTGTCTTATGATCCTGAATTAGGCGAAGATCAGCATACCGCTAAGTTTGGTTTTCGATTCCAGGGATGTGATAAAGGCAGTAGGTCTTTGTGTTGCTTAACGGTATGCGAGTTGCTGACAGGTCACGGGTCTGATTTTCATCATTAATTCTGAAGTGTATTATTGGACAAAATTTGTTAGTCATGTATTCTCTTTCTCCCTGGTTTCTGTGTCATGTGTACCTCACTGTTAAAATTGAAAGCTAATTTTTTAATGGAATGACTTCTGCTGGTGGTATAGATAGTGATTTTTCGCAGAAAAGAGTGAAGTAGTAGAAGGCGTTAGGTTCCTTAATCTTTTTCTGATTTCACTGAGGAATCCATTATTACCTCTTTGCTTAACAAAAATGTGGGATTTGGAATTTTGAGAATCCGTTATAGTCTTATGGAATGTGTCTTTGTCTTGCTAATTTTTTTGTTAAATTCAATACCTCAGGTGGACTTGGATGCATCTGCAATGTTGAATATGATTCTACTTGTAGGTATTTTTCCCATCATTC